TATATATATATGGGAGAGTATATATACATATAATTACTACCTCTTTTTCTTACTACTTCTTATTACTAAATCTTAACCATTGATTTCTGTCAATCTAACAGTTATAATTTATTGGGTCATATTTATTAATTAATTTTTAATTTTTAATAAATTTTAACCGTTAGATTGACAAAAATCAACGGTTAAGATTTATAACAAGAAGTAATAAGAAAAAGAGATACTAATTATAATCTATATATATTAGTCTTTATTATATTTTATGTTTAGTAGGTTATGGTTGATAAAAAGGAAAAAAAAAAATTATTTGTTTATTTAGGTTAAAGAAGCCTGACTGGGATCGCCGACTTTTTGGATAGGCATTGATCTAGATTGGTTCAGGACAAAATGTTTAAGCTTATCGCAAAAAATAGACGGTTCAGGACAATTCCGAATACTCTAGCCTAAATAAATTTTAAAATATATTTGTTTAAGTGAAATGAAATAAGGATTCATTGTTTGCCAATTCTGTAAAGAGTCAATTGAATTCAAAAGTTTAATATGAATGTTATATTAATTTTTCATATAATTTTCGGATATGTTCCTCACACGAGACGGTGAAGATTGAATTTATAATGTATAATGATATAAAAATATTTAAGCTATTACATAAACATCATATTAATAATTTAATATTATATTGCTGTAAAAAATTCTTATATTATAAGAATTTTATTTTCATTTCAATCACCAAACCAACATATAATATAATAAGCCCCCTTATATTATGATTTCATTTACTCGAAATACCCATGCATCCTGTTAATCCGTGCCATCTTCCTTTTCATTTGATGTGTACTCTTGATGAGCACACGATGACATAAGGGTATCTGCAAAGGACGATAACACACTCCCTGTCATTTCTCGTAAGTCATAATTATAATCGTCACTACAATTAATCAAATGTTTTATGCTCTACCTCAATTATTTCTTAATTAGCCACAATATTTAAGGTGGTGCCCACCGTGCACTAGGCTTGTGTGTTTCGTTTTGTTCTCTATCGTTGCATTGGTTGAACTTGTCTTGGCCACGTTTTGTTGTGGGGACTGGGGAGTATTAAACTATAGTTAAAATGATGAGGAGTTAGCCAGGTATAATTGGTAAATAGCTAAGTATATTGATAGGAATTGGATCCTTGACATGTGTATTGTTAGGGATGCTCTTGGAACAATTTTCAAAAAAATAAAATGATAAGGAGTTAATTAGAGCTCTAGATACATAGCTTTGTTAAAAATTTGATAAAAGAGTATTTTCACCCTTATGATCTTATCCAAATTGTCTGAATTAGTGAACTAATCAATTATAAAAAGGCTTAAGCAATAAAGCAAGTTTTTGGGTTTAAATTTTTGTGAATACAAATTTTTTTACAGCTAATTTTACATGATGTGAATATTCCTGACTCGAATAACCTTGCTTCTCATAAATGACGCATGTAATTTATAAAAAGAAAAAAAAAATGAATTGGAAAAGAAAAATAAAAAACAAATAAGTTGTAACAGAAGCTGCTTTGCGCGATAACGCCCTCCACCACCGATTGATTATTTATTCAAGTTGTTAAGCCAGAAGGATCATTTGGACAACTGTGCACAAATTTTCCTTTGATCATACGGTATTCGATGTATTTCTCAGTTAGGAGGCTGTATCTGTTCTAAAAGATCATCAATCAAGGTAAGCGTTGTCAGTAATATAAAAATTATTAAAAGAGAAAAAATTATCCTTAAAAAATCATTTATAAATTATTCATTACGATTTAGAGATTTATCTATATTAAATTTTTTTTAAATGTAACATATTTTTATCATTTAAAAAAGTAAGTATAATATTTTTAAAATTAAAAAAATACAACTTCAACTCATCTTAAAAAAGTCCTATTTTTTAGTATTTTTAAATGATAGTTAGATCTTCGATGTGGTGGAAGAAAGTATTGGAAACAAAAAAAACAAAAATGGGTGAAAAGCAATCAAGCATTGTGATCGCAAACTTTATTTTGCATGGGAAGTGAGCTGCTACTTTATTTATTAAAGACGTATTAATAGACGTATTAATACTAAACAAAGATAATGAAATATATATATATATATATATGCACATTAATTTATATTTATAATTTTTTAATTGAATTATAATTATCTTGTCCTCATTTTTATTTTCTTACTACACAAATTAGACGTAAAAAGCTTCTTATTTTATTAAACGAGGAAACAAAAACATAGAGACCGTATTTTCTGGGTAAAGACTATTTTTTGGAATAAAATAACTTCTTAATTTATTAAATTTGTACTACAAAAATTAAAAAAATTGATTTCATATGATTATTAACTATTGAAAGAGTATCTGATTTCTAATTCAGTTGAAGTTTTTAAAAATTTTCGGTGATCGCTCAAAATATTTTGTACTCTGCTCGTTATCTTATAATTTTTAAACATGTGGCTGAGAAAAATAAGGACACTGATATATTTATAAATTTTTTATTTATAATTTATTATAAATTACATTATATAATTTTAAAATTTTATAATTTACAAAAGTATACAAAACAGCAAAAGTGGGTAGACACAATCAAGCATTGTGATCCAACAATTTGTCATGCGATGTGACGTGAGCTTCTTTATTTAAAACGACATCTAAGAACAAAACGTAGGAATGCATTTATTTACGCACAGATGCACCTCTCTGTCTCCGCTCACACGTCACACACACTCTCACACACACATATATACATAAGGATATTGTAACAATTAAGTTGTGTTACTACTATATTACTATCAATCAATTTTATTGTTAGATTGATTATATTGATACAACGATTATATTTTATTTCATCTTTGTATTGTCATGATTCCTCATATTTAAAGTGAAAACATTAAATATGAGAAATCATGACCATATATTAAATTTGAGAAATCATGACCATACAAAGATAAAAATAAATATAAAGTATTAAATTTACGAAATTATGACCATACAAAGATAGGAATAAATATAACCGTTAGATCAATATAATCGATCTAACGGTGATATTGATTGGTAATAACATGGTAGTAACACAACTTGGTTGTTACAATATCCTTCCCACACATATATATATATATATATATATATTATTTTAAACCAACATAAGACTTATATCAGATCTTAACTGTTGATTTTCATGTATCTAACGATTATAATTTAAGAAATTGTATGAATTAATTAATATCAACCGATGATTTTCGTCCATCATTGGTGGAGATGTGATATAAGATTTGTTAGTCTTATACTGATGTAAAAAGAACCTGTCCTATATGTGTATATATATATAGACATATAGTTCGCTTTTTTTACAATTATTACAACAAGTTATTTGTAATAAGCTCAGTATGACGTCGTTTTGGGGTGAAAATCATGGTGTTTTTATAATTTTAATCTATTTCAGGATTATTATAGTCTTTATAATTATAATTTTCTAATCTTTCAATTTGAAAGTAAATGTAGATAACTTATATACGTTAAGTGCAGAAATATCTTTATTATATTATTTTGTATTTCTGTGATTCTTATCTTTTAATTATATTTATTTAATTTTCATTTTATAATTAGTAAAGATACACTACTAAATTTTACAGTGAACGTTACTTAGAAATTAAAACATGGCGCCTAAGAAAACACCAAAACGCAAACAGAATCTCTTTTTCTCTCTCCTATCTCCATTTTAAAACGGCTTTCTGAATATTCTATTTTTCTTTCGTTCGGAATCACTCTCTTTCTTCTTTTGGATCATAAAATTAAGTGCAATCATTTTCTCCCTTTTCCCCTATATTTCTCCTTTTGAATGATTAATTCAAATAAATTGTGGGATTCACTTTGGTATGTCTTCTAGTCTCTTCTATCATTATTATTGGCATATACGGTATTAACGAGCTGAGCCGAATCGAGCTTTGATTTTAAAAGGATAAGTTTATGTTTAAATATGTCAGTTTGGTTTGACTTGTTATTTGTTATGAATAAAATTATAGGATTGTGGTCTGACTTATTTATTGAAATTAAAAATCTAATTTAACCCATTGAAAAAAAATAAGACAACAAGAATTTATCCAAATAGAATATACGATTAACAACAATAATAATTCCACATATTCATAAATTCAATATGTATTCAAACAAAATAATATAAAATAAAATTATTTAAAAAGTCTATTTAACCAAAAAAATAAAATGAAATAGGATAAGGAGAGAGAGCTCACTATTGTTATTAGTATAAAAAATATATAAAAATAAAAGTTAGTATATTAAGTGAGACTGAGAGACTTTAAGATCGAATTTTTAAATACAGCATAACTTTTTTTTTTTTATAATAATAAGGGTAAGGAGAGAGAGAGCACTATTGTTATTAGTATAAAAGATATATAAAAATAAAAGTGAGTATATTAAGTGAGACTGAGAGACATTAAAATCGAATTTTTGAATTACTACATAACTTTTTTATTACATGAATTTTTATACAAATCTAAACTTGATTTGAATAACTAATTTAAAATAGAGTAAATACCTTTTTAGGTCCTCCGCAAATTTCACGATGCCTGTTTTAGTCCCTAGCAAATAAAAAGGTCCATCGTGGTCCCTAAAAAATTCAAAATGAACTCATTTAATTGAAATTGTGGTCCCTCACAAATTCAAAAAAGATCCATATTAGTCCCTAAAAGGATTAAAATGGGTCCATTTTGAATTTCTTAGAGACCATGATGGGCCTTTTTATTTGCTAGGGACTAAAACGGGTATCGTAAAATTTGCTGAGGACCAAAAAAAAATATTTATTCTTTAAAATATATAAACCTAAACTTTCACGACTCGGGTCAAACGTTGGTTTACCACCCTAGTTTATAACCTTTTTATTTTCGTACAATATTCTTATTTTTTATTTTTTTTAATAAATGTGAACCTTCCAACGAGATGTATGATTTATCTATATCATATGAAAGTTTTTCACGAGAAAATTGAAACCTTTATGTTATTTTGATTGCTGCTCCTCTCTGCTCTGTTTGTTTGGTTACTTAGAATCTTCAGGAAAACTAAAAGAGAAAAATATAAAAGGAGAGAAACAGAGATTGTTGTGTTTTCTGTTCCTGAGCTGGAAATACCTGAACCCCGGTATGGCGGTTCGATTCAATCCCAATTTTCAGTAATTGAAACTAGTTTTGCTTGACTTCATTTTTTTCTTTTTTGTGTGGTTAAACACGTTTGAATTTTTCTACAATGGGTTTTTTTGGTATGTTTGTTCTATCACTGTTTGTATATTCATTAAAGTTACTTGTTATTGAGGTATGAATATGAAAGTGGGTATGCAGATTCATACATTGGAACCAACTGGGGTTGTTTCAGCTGGTTAGGATTGAAAGACTTGGCTTGTAAAGCTTGTTCTTTTTATTCTACAGAAATTCCCAATTTTTGGGCAATATATGAGTACCATTTTAAGCCTTTACTGATACCTGAAATGGGGTTGCCTTTTCATTTTTATTTTTATTTTTAACTTTTTGAAACCAGAAAAGAAAGAGATTCATAAGTTGGATTAACACAATGTTGTGTTGTGGCTGATTAAAATAGTTCATTGTGATCTGAACTACTTTTGACGTATATGGTTTTGGTTTGGATAGAACAATTTAGACTCTGTTTAATCTTTTAATTGATTTCGTTCACTTTCAGTGAGTACAGCCTTTCTCATTGCAGAAAGAGATGGTTGCCTTTGGGAAAAGGTTGAAAGACAGACAAATTCTAGAATGGCAAGGGTATGTATGTCTGCTCATGTGTTGAAGGTTAAAAACTTCCGAGTTGAAGTTTTAGTTTCATATTAATGGTACTTTGGGCTCATAAATTCGATTTTTTGTTATAGATATTACATAAACTACAAACTCATGAAGAAAAGAGTACGGCAATATGCTCAACAAATTCAGCTAGGAATACAAGATCGGCGCCATGTGCTCAAGGATTTCTCACGAATGCTGGATAATCAGGTTTTGCTTTTTTCTTTGTTGAATGCTTAATTGTTTAATACTAAATGAAGGTTGGTCCTTTCCATTACTTTTTAATGCTTAAATTAGAATCTGGTTATATGAGTAAATCTGATGGTCTGAGTGGAATGAATCATAAGATTCATAACCCTTATCTAATAGTGTTTTTGTTATATCTTGGTGGGCATCTTTTATTTGTGTTACTTTGTTTCAATCACTTTTCTTTTGTTACAATTCAGATTGAGAAGATTGTCCTTTTCCTGTTGGAGCAACAAGGGCTTTTGGCAAGCAGGATAGAAAAGCTTGGAGAGCAGCATGATGCTCTTCAGCAGGAGCCTGAAATAAACAAAATAGCTGAATTACGAGAAGCTTATAGAGCAGTGGGACAAGATCTATTAAAGCTTCTCTTTTTTGTAGAAATCAATGCTGTTGGTTTGCGTAAGATATTGAAGAAGTTTGATAAACGCTTTGGCTATAGATTCACTGATTACTACGTCAAAACTCGAGCAAATCATCCATACTCCCAGCTGCAACAAGTGTTCAAGCATGTGGTAATATGTTTAGTTCAAACACGACCTTCACAGAATTAAATGCAGAACAAATAGCACCATATGTATTTAATTTTAATAATGAACATTGACTAACGGATACTGAATTTGCAGGGAATTGGAGCTGTTGTTGGAGCCTTATCTCGCAATCTTCATGTACTTCAGGACCGTCAAGGAAGCTACTTATCAATTTATGATCAGCCTACTCTTCCCCTCCAGGTTTCTTTTGCGTTTACTTTTCTCCATCGTACACTTATTTTGTGTTGTCTTGTTCTTTCTTAATGTTCTCAGGCATGCTTTATTATCTGTTTAGGGAGCAGCATAAGGTTGGTGGTGATTTTCCATCATATTAACTTGGTCTTGTATGCAGGATCCTGTCATTGATTCAATAAATGCAGCTGTGGATAGGTTAACCAACTCAACAAACTTCCTTAACTTTTTAGGACAACATGCACTCATTATGCAAGAAGAGCTGCCTGTCTCTGCTGAGGAAAGTGATGATGATAAAAGATACCATTTTATGTCTCTTATGCTGAACTTGGCAAACACATTTTTGTATATGGTCAATACATATATTATTGTCCCTACAGCAGATGATTACTCTACGAGCCTTGGGGCAGCACCAACAGTTTGTGGTATTGTGATCGGGGCAATGGCTGTTGCACAGGTGTTTTCTTCAGTGTATTTTAGTGCCTGGTCAAACAAATCATATTTCAGGCCTCTTGTTTTCAGTAGCATAGCTCTTTTTCTGGGAAATGTCTTGTATGCGTTGGCATATGATTTTCATTCAATATGGATTCTGTTAATTGGTCGCCTTTTCTGTGGGTAAGCAATTTTTTATGTCTTAATCTTCTTCCTGTTGTTACCTGACGAGCATAACTTATGATATTGTGCCTTTAACCTTTTAACTTCAGATGAGTATGATTACATCTCTCACTCAGTCTCACCTCTAGTCTTATTACCATTTTCAGTTATCCAGAATAAGACATCTCATAATATTAACTCCAAGGGAAGGCTAACCCTAATTAGTATTTAAAGAGTAGAAATAGTAGGTCTTGAAATAGGAATCTTAGTGTACCATAATTTTCATGGTATGTTATTTGTGCTGATCCGAATTAGTTTGAGATAAAGGCGATGTTGATGTCGATGCAAATTATGTTATTTGCTTGAGTTGATTTGTACATACACTGCTTACAATCGTGCTAGGAATATTATGAGTTACTAGTCACATTAAGACTTCATTTGGCTGACAAACACTTGATTATAATTGCAGATTGGGTTCTGCTAGAGCTGTTAACCGGCGTTATATAAGTGACTGTGTTCCTTTAAGAATCCGCATGCAAGCATCTGCAGGTTTTGTTAGTGCCAGCGCTCTTGGAATGGCTTGCGGTCCTGCATTAGCTGGCATTCTGCAGACTAATCTAAAGTTTTACAAGCTTACATTAAATCAAAATACCTTGCCTGGGTGGGTTATGGCTGTTGCTTGGCTCATATATCTAATATGGTTGTGGATCACTTTTAAGGAACCTTCTCGTGAAGCAGAAGTGAATCACGTACCACCTCAATCAAATGATGGTACTGAACTTATATTGCATCAACTTGTTGCTTACTGTTTAAACATTTTTATTGTGTCTTGTATCATTAATCTACATCTGTCTTCTAATTTTACTGTTCTGTCCAAATATTCATTATCCATAGGAACCTTTTGGTTCTTGGAAGTTTTTGCATTCATTTTCTAAAATTCATGTGTCAGTTTATCACACTGGTTATTGATTTATTTTGGCAATCTCCAAAATAAATGAAAGGAGTCCATAATGAGAAAGTATCATAATCTTGTTCATTGGAAAAATGTTCCCATATGGAAAAGAGTTTGGTTATTCGGACTTATAATGACAACAAAAAATCCTTGTATCACCAAATATTATTAGCTGAAGCGAGCCTTGGAGCAGCGGTAAAGTTGCTTCCTGTGGCCGTAAGGTCACGGGTTCAAGTATGAGAAATAACTTTTTTGAAAAAAAAACAAGGGTGAGGCTGAGTACAATCGACCCTTATCCCTACCATCACAACTCGGGAAGTCTTGTGCAGCAGGATTTTCCTTTTACCATATACTATTAGCTACATAGATCAAATGATGCCATTGTGTTTTGGCAAACTGAGTTCTCAGAAAAGCCATTTAGATCTAAGTCGTTTCTGTTAAGAGTATAGTATAAACCATTAAAAAGCTTAAGTTGTTGGGTGAGGCTGCATTATAAGAGAGTCCATTGGACTTGAAAGGTGGATGATACATCAGACCCAGCCTATCTGTGTTAAGAAATTCCACAAAAGAAAATGGGGGCGGTGAAGATCGAATCCCGAGACACGAGGCTTTGATACCATGTAAAGGACCATTTCACCTAAAAGCTTAAGTTATTGGGTGAGAGCTTTTTAATGGTTTATACTATACTCTAACAGTTTTTAATGACGTTCATTAGAGTTTGCTTGGTTTTTCTGTACCTCTGTTTATTGGATTATTCTCCATCTAATCAACTCTTCTTACCGGGACTTCTATTAGTATTCTCCTCACATGGCCAAACCATCTTACGTGAGATTCTGTTTCAATAGCTGCTATTCTTACTTTCTCTCAAATACATTTATTCCTGAATCACTTGAGTGGTTAATTTTGTTGGGACTCGGAACTTCAAAAATCATCAAGTATGGGTTTCATTTTTAAAAATTGTAGTCAGCAAGTCATTACTTGAAAATGTGTTTCACTTGAATCAATGACCTCCCTATCCAAATCTTTAGAATTCTTTTTAGATTTCTATTGTAAACAACCTGTGGATGATCATACTTACGAAGGATCCATTAATTACTTGAGTGGTTTATCATTTTTAAGTGATTAATCATTAACCATTTTTATAATAGTATTAATAGCCCTTTTCCCTTAGTTATGGCTTCCCACTGGTCCTTGATATTCATTCATTTTCTATCTTTACAAATGGTTCACAAAATAAATCAAGCTTTTTTTTATGTCATCCTTGTAATATAAGAATATGTAAAAGAGTAAAGGGCAAATCCTGTTGCGCAAGGCTCCCCGACTTGCTAGAGTAGGGGTAAGGGTCAATTGTACGCAGCCTTACCTTTGCATTTTTTGCAAAGAGGCTATTTCTTAGTTATAAGAATTAACCTTACCGCTGCTAAAAAAAGTCATCTATGACTATATAATTTCTCAAAATTATGTCTTAGTTACGTGCGCTTTCTATTCTTATGTTAATTTTATCTTGCTGTTGAGCCTCAACACAATAGAAAATAATGCACTTTCTTGCTCCTGTCTAGACGAACACAGTGCACTTGAAAATGGCCTAAAACAACCATTGCTGATTAGTTCAGAAGATAAGGTAGATGAAGATGCTGATCAGGATTGTGATGATAGTGAAGAAGCTCCAGAGGAATCTCCCAAACCGGCCAATTCAATTGGATCGGCATACAGACTCCTTACACCTTCTGTAAAGGTTTGTGAGCAACTCACTGTCATACATAAGTTATTGGATATCTATCAAGCAGAAATGATTTTATTAGATGTATTAGTTTTAAGTAATTGTTAATGCTAAGATGAAAAATTAATTTACGGATGTATCATCCTGTATGAGTATGAAAGACTTGTTATTTGTAGAAAATTATAAATGAGAAATTAAAGGAATTGAATTGCTATTTGCATTTGACCTTATCCTAGCTAGTCTCAGACAGCTCCAAAACTTGAAAACTAGGCTCACATGTGCCAATTGCCAACTAAGAGAGATGACCCTGTCCTCTTGTGAAGTTTAGAATATAATAAACTAGACTCCATAGGTAATTGATGGCTAGCACACTTAATTAGATGTTATTCTGTAATGTAAATTTGTAAAATGTGATGAGAGCTCTCAGAGACATTTTTTTACCCTCAGAGGTCTGATTTACCTTAATCTGCGGCCTTTATATGAATTATTAATTAATTATAAAGTAGCACGAAAAGTAAGCAAAATATTAGTTGATGACATAAAGTTAATCTAGTTAGAACAAAGAAAAAGCCAACATGGAAAGATGGTATTCAGGTATCTCCAGTTTTCACATAAGATCAAATCTGAGCAAACCAAACTGAAGAGGCTTGGGAATGAAATGATTTTGAGTTGAGTACTAGTCTCTTCAATGTGCAATAGAGATACATGAAACCTACTTTTACGTTTTATTTACATGATTACTATTTGTTAACTGGTTGGTACGTGTCATGGCTTTTTGCTGTGCCAAACTATAAGCAACATACCGAAAATAACTACGCACCTAAGTCTATGATGCTATAATTATTAGATTCATACCTATGACTTTAGCATGTTTGACTTACCACATTAAAGTGCAGCTAATTTTATAGGATGGGCACTTTCTCCTGTCATATATTAAGATGTTTTGGACATCAAATATCTCGAGATGATGAACGCCTTTTTATCATCTAGCTTATTAAGTAATATTTTAGATAATTTAAGATATCTTGTGATGCTGTTTATTTGATATTATAACTTTTACCAAGTTCCAATGGAAGATGAAGATTAGATAAAATGTTGGAAAGTTAAACATTTTACCTGACCAAATTTGTGTGACATATCCAGGTTCAGTTATTGATTTATTTCATGCTCAAATACGTAATGGAGATTTTACTGTCGGAATCTAGTGTCATCACAACATACTATTTTAACTGGTCAACAAGCACAGTTGCAGTTTTTCTTGCCTGCCTTGGCTTGACGGTTCTTCCCGTAAACATTGTTGTTGGAAATTATATAAGCAACATGTTTGAGGACAGGTAATGTCTAATAAAACCCATGCTTCATTTGATTGTCGACCATAAGCGAATTTATGCTCTAGTTGGATTTACCAAAAAATGTACGATGATACATAATGCATGTTGGTACTTAATTAACTGAGAAGGAAAATGAAAAAATCCAATATAGATTAAGATCCTCACTCTGTCTTTTACTAGATCTATTTAGAGCCTTAAAATTGTTGAAATGTTTTCCATATGCATCTGAGAGATCAATTTTTTAATCTTAGGCAAATGCTGCTGGCATCAGAAATTATGGTTTGCATTGGCGTTCTCCTCAGCTTCCATATAATCTTTCCGTATTCTGAGCCACAATACATCTGTTCGGGTCTCCTTTTATTTGTTTCTGCAGAAGTACTTGAAGGTAAGATATTATTTTGCTTTACTATTTGTTATAGAAGTATAAAACTATTAATGTAGCCCCACTCAACAGCTTAAGCTTTTAGGTTGAATTGGTTCTTTACATAGTATCAGAGCTTCGGTATCACGGGTTCGATCTTCACCGTCCTTCATTTAATTAATAAATAATTAAGTCTTGTGGAATTTCTTAGCACAGGTAAGTGAGTCTGTATATTATCCGCCCTTCAAGCCTAGTGGGTTCTCGTGTGAGGGAATGTGTTACAGAAATATAAAATCATTAATGTAGCTTCACTCAACAGTTTAAGCTTTTGAATTGAATTGGTTCTTTATACTATGTATGATTATGGACAGGATTATATTGTAAAGATGCACAGGAAGCATGATTTGTGTCCGCTAAGTAAAACTAGGAAATTTCAGTAGGTAAACATTTTTTAACTTTAGCATCAGGAACGAAATTATAGCCAATAGAGAGCATGCGTTTATTTTTCACACGGGATCTTTATTCTGTTAAATTCCTGGTTGTCTTTGATGTTATATGATAATTATCATAATGTCTTTTTTTAACAATTACCTTACATCTTTTGATGAGTTTCACCTTTCTGTTGTTTCTAACATTAAATGACGAGGCATTTCATTTAGGAATATGAAATGAGATTGTGCTTTGTAAGGCTCATATTTTCTGGCCCTGTCTCTGTCCAGTTAACGTATCAAACTTCATGACATTACATAATGGCTTAATTATAATTGATAGTCCATGATCATGTGGTCATTTAGACCTGAAGTACACAAACATCACTATTATTGATGCTAGGAAATTCAAGTGAGTGATAAGTAATTAAGTCTCCATTCCACAAAATCGATTTTTAAGATTTTGGATTGAGATAAGTGATATGCCAATGGTTGGTCCTATCTAGTATTTGGAGATAATGGTGTTTGGAAGCCAAGACCTGATACTATTATTTGGGCTCCCCATAATTCTCGAAGAGCTTCTCCTTGAGAGGTTTGGTTGTTGCTAAATTGCTTTACATAGATGGAGACAAAACTTTGCCTGATCATACCTTAGTTTTATTCTATCTCGTGGTGTTAGTGGGATGAGTACACAATTTTATCGTTTCCATGCTAGACAAGAGTTAAAAAGGATGTTTGGTGGTTGCTGATGTACATTGTTTTTACTTCTGCTTTTTCCTGACCAGAATGTAATTGATATCATTCATTCATTCCAGGTGTTAACTTATCACTACTTTCACGGGTCATGTCATCAAGGCTTTCTCGTGGAACCTATAATGGTGGGCTTCTATCTACAGAGGCTGGAACAATTGCTAGAGTGATTGCTGATGCAACAATTACCCTGGCTGGATACGTGGGTGAGAGTAGACTCCTTAATGTCACTCTGCTTCCTTCACTCTTCATTTGCATATCCTCCATCTTGGCAACATGCTATACCTACAACTCTTTATATTGATTTTTGTTCCCGAGGCTCAGAAGGAAAGAGGGTTATGTTCTTCAACAAGACTTTACTCTCCTAACCACTTGGCTGTGTCATTCTTTTCTTCATTCAATGTTTTTGAATAATTGATTCTTCAATGGCTCCATAAAGATGGAACAGTAGCTAGGCTCGAAGATGCTTTCTGTTATGGTAGATATGAAAACTCTAGTTTTATAAAATCAATCACATATTTTGGGCTTACGAAATAGCAAGATCTTCACATCTACTGTGTAAAAACTATAAATCATGTTACGGAAGAAATTGAGAAGGAAGACATGAACACAAAATTGACTCATAACATTTATGTCAGCCATTCCGTATAAATACAATTAAAACACCTTGTTTTTAAATCATGGAAGTACGATAGAAAAAGCTAGCCTTGGCACCGAGAATAAATCCTGTTTGCAACATCATCATGACATGATGACATCCTAAGTTTAATGAGGAAGAATATTTTCTTTTATTTACTTCCCTTAGTTTTACTCTTAGGATTATGTCGGGTGATATGGACCTACCTAAGGTCCATATGCCCAAAAGGCCGACATTTGACAGTTATACAAGAAGATAATTGGGTTCATGAAGAAATGAGTCCAGATTGTTCTGTGATAAACTCTATAAATAAGAAGTAAAGACTACAGGTATGGACGAATCTTTCTCTCACTATTATTTTGTCACTGTGCACATACCACTTCATTGACTAAAGCTTTATAGTTGTGTATGGTAATTTGCTACTCCCAAGGTATCTAATTCATAGATACCTAGAGAGAGCACGAAATCCTATATTGATCTACTAGACATCTCTGTCACATAGACAGAACATTGGTGCCGTCTGTGGGAACTGAAGAAGAAATTTTCAAATCCCACGAAAATCATGGCACGCACCACCAGAAGTGGTTATCGGCAGCCACCATTGCCAAATCCTAAGCCATGGCAAAAATCAGTGATATAGGAGGATCCAACGGATCAACACGGCCTTGAGAATCAACAAACGGCTAATCGCAATGTTGTTCATGTCAGCGATGTGCATTCTGATTCAGCCTCAACTCCAACGGTGAATCAAAATGTGCCATATGTACAAGGATTGCAAATACTGGGTGCACATATCCCAAACGTTGTGTAGATCCCATCTGAAATCAATCAAGACCAGCGTGTTACATATCTTGTTGTCCCTGCAATCTTGAAAAGGATTGAGGAGATGGAGAGACGTAATCAGCTTCAATGACAAGAGGATGCATAACGTATCCGAGATCTGGAAGCAAGATTATTGCAGGTTAGGAACCCGGATCTTAGACAGGCCATGACTCGGGTCATGAATGATCTGAGGATATCAAGCCCTCCACGAGGGGTAACTGAGCAAAGAAATGAGCGGTGAAGAAATGTCTTCGGCCTGACAAGGCATGTCGGCGAAGGAAGTCGAAGACGGGTTGATAATGTAAGTCGTAACTGGGATGGAAGACTCGAAGACACAATGAGTAGAACAACCCAGAATGAACATCTCGGCACATAGGAAAGAAGAAGTAATCTAGAGGCCATACATGAACGACCTAATAGAAATGAAAGAAGAGGTACTTGCAAGATGGAGGAAGAGGCAACATCCAAGGGGATGACATCGAAGCACATAGAAGAGCTGAGAATACTTGGCTATATGATGATCAATCCAAGCAACCAAGGAACCCGGATGATGTGACAAGAGTCTATAAGAGGAAGTATCACAGGAGGCAGTACAATGATAGTCCCTTTGTCGATGGAATTTTTGATGCACCCTTTCCTGAGAATCTTAACTTATCAGAGTTGCCAAATGTGATGGAAGTCAGGACCCCCAGGTCCATCTAGACACTTTTGATACAACCATGTATATCAAGGGTATAGAGGAACCATTGATTACGCGACTGTTTGCGACAACTTTGACGGGGCAGCTCATATGTGGTTCTCTTAATTGCTAGTAAGATCTATTAGGTCTTTTAAGGAGCTTTTTGTTAAACTTTGTGTAACATCCTGAGCGCTGACGAGGGCGGAGAGTGATCATCGGTGCAAAGAGGCACGGACAAGGAGCGGCTCCTGACAGGCTTCCAGTTGGGGGTTACATGCATGAATGAATCGAATTGACACCCGAAAGAGAGGGATTCCAAAGGCTGTGCAGGTATAAGACTGCACAGTTTGGGATAACTTATAAGAATTAATTGGTACTACCTATGCTAACAAGATGCATCTGCTTTTCGGTAGGCCGGATCGGAAGAACTCCACAGTTAAGCGTGTTTGACTTGGAGCAGGGATGAGTGACCTCCTGAGAAGTTTTCGCGGGAAGAGTGCGAGTGAGGAAAAAATTCACTGAAAAGTCTCGTGTTAGTATGTGGGGATAGTCATTGATTCTTGAAGCGGTCGGGCGTTACAAGTGGTATCAGAGCAGGGCCTCTCATCCAGTACGGTGTGGTTCGAGGACGAACCAGGCAGAAGCTGGTGGGCATGTAACATCCCGAGCACTGACGAGGGCGGGGAGATCGCCGGTGCAAAGAGGCACGGACAAGGAGCGGCTCCTGACAGGCTTCCAGTTGGGGGTTACATGCATGAATGAATCGAATCGACACCCGAAAGAGAGGGATTCCAAAGGCTGTGCAGGTATAAGACTGCACAGTTTGAGATAGCTTATAAGAATTAATTGGTACTACCTATGCTAACAAGATGCATCTACTTTTCGGTAGTCCGGATTGGAAGAACTCAACAGTTAAGCGTGCTTGACTTAGAGCAATTCTGGAATGGGTGACCTCCTGGGAAGTTTTCCCGGGAAGTGTGCGAGTGAGGAAAAAGCACACTGAAAAGTCTCGTGTTAGTATGTGGGGATAGTCATTGATTCTTGAAGCGGTCGGGCGTTACACTTTGCTACCAGCAATAAGCAACCAAAATCAGAAATACCTGGATCGCTTTAAAGAAGTGGCGCTACAAGTCCCAGGATTGTCTGAAAACATTCATGTGCACTTAGTGGTAGCCGGGTTGCATGGGTCCTCTAGACTGGCGAAATCCATTTAGAAGGACCCAATTAGGACATTGGTGGAATTCACAACTCGATCGAAAAAATACCTTGAGTTAGAACAAATGCAGATAGAGAAAGTTAGAACAAATGCAGATAGAGAACTCTGATCAAAAGTGAAGCCTGGGTAGAATGGAGAGGCCTAGAAATAGGAGGCAAGGAGACTTCCAGGGTAAGAAACCTGAAGAAAGACCACCACAAAGAGGAAGATATGAAAATATGCTTCACTCAACTTGCCGCGGTCCTAGATTTGGAGAGAGGTAGCTCTAACCGAGATGAAAAAGGTAGAAAAACTTCTGCCTCTAATGAACAAGGGGGGCTTAGAACAGACAAGATATTGTGCCATTCCACGACAGCCCAGGGCTTACCACGAGTGAATGCTGGGACTTGAGGGATGCAATTGAAAAATGTATTAGAGATGACAAATTACACCAGTATCTAATCAAAACACAAGGATGGAGGAATAACAGAAAGAGAAAGGACTGTAATTGGAGCCCGACAAGAGAAAAGAAACCAAGGGAGGAAAACAGAGGAAAAAAACCAAATGAAGACAAAGACGAGTTCATAAAGCCAGAATTTGAATGTAACGTGATTAGTGGAGCACTAGGGGGTGGTGGAGTTACAGTAAATGCTCGGAGAAAATATCTTAAGGAAGTGCTCTCACTTGGAGGGTGACCCAAATTTAGGGAAGACTCCAGCAAGCTGAAACCACCCCTCATGTATTTCACAAAAGAAGAGTTGGAGGATGTGATGCCTGGGCATCTGGATGGCATGGTAATTACAAGCATGCTAGTTAATTACCAGGTTAAGAAGATGTTTATGGATAACGGCAGCTGCGCTAATATAATCTTATGGGACGCATTCAAGAAAATGAATTTGGATGAAGAAGATTTGAAGCCTTGCAAGACAACTCTGATTGCATTCAATGGCCAAAACACCTCTCCTAAGGGATATATTGACCTCAGATTAACTCCGGGGTCGAAGAAGGCATACAAGTCAGAAAAGTTAAGGTTCATTGTAGCCGACTTCCCTTCACCATTTGATGTCATTATGGGGAGGCCAACTATCCATAACTGGGATATGTTGGTATCCACAAAACTTCAGATGTTGAAGATGGTGAGCAAGCAAAATACGGGATTACCATTGGAGGAGATCAAAAGGAGTCACGAGAATGCTACTTCAGGTATGTTAGGCTTGATGGACCTTCATCCCCAACTCTCAAGCAGGAAAGATTGAACATCGAAAGCAGAAGAGCTCTGTTAACATGGTGGAGCTTGACATGAGGGATGAAACCCAGTTTCCTAGACCTGAACCTGATGGGGAACTTGAAGAAATTGTAATAAGAGAGCGGTGTCAGACAACCAAGATAGGAAAAGGGTTGGAAGCCGAGAAAAAGAAGTAGTAATTAAATGCCTCAAAGACAATAAAGATGTCTTCGCATGGAAGTTGTCTGAGATTCCTAAGGTAGATTCCACATTTTGTTGTCACAAGCTGTCAATATACCCAAGAGCAAGCTAGTAGCTCAAAAGAAAAGGAAGCTTGGCTCAGAATGTCGGCAGGTACTGGAGGACCACGTCAAGGAGCTTTTGGAAGCTGGGTTCATTAGAGAGATACAATACACTACTATTAGTATATAGGTGTCATACAGACAATCTGAGAGTCAGATGGACCCATGTACTTCATTGTTGTTATGAATAAAAGCATTATTTATCTTGTTTCATATTGCATGTCTCAAATATTGAATATGAGTAACAAGATAAAGCCCTTGGAATGGAACAAGTTTTGTTAGTATATGGGTGTCCTAGAGACAATCTTTTTGATTAAATAAGGACATAAGATGTAGACCTTTTTGTCGCAAATTAATAATAAGCACTTTTTATCCTGTTTCATATTTAGTCTCGATATTATTGTTAATATATTATGAATAAACTGGATAAACCCCTTGGAATACAATAGGTATCTCTTAAGTATCTGTGATGAGATCACGATCATGAGGATTTAAGGATACCGGATGTTTATTCCTAATTTTATGTTCCTAGTCTAGAGACACTGAAAATGGGGATCAGTGATCTCGGGTAAGACTAGCACGACTTATCTACTTGTATTTGGATGCAAGGTAAAGACCTCATGAGCTACAGATACGGAGATGTCTTAGCTAAAGTCGTGGGTGGACCTATAAGGGTATAGCTCGCACTGAACAAACCCACAAAGAGACTCTATGAGGA